CTGCAAACACCTCTTAAGTGAGTGTATTTAAATATTTGAGCCTGTACGTACGATTCTGACCTTTGATGGATTAGAAAAAAATCTAAACTAAAATCCAACTTTTAAGCCAAATTCTTGTTTTTAAATATTTAAAGGTGTATCCACCGAACACTTCAAAGAAAGTCAGCCAAGAATTACCATGATATTCGTGTCCATGATGACTGAACACAACGTCTGACCACGTTGTGTACAGTTCAGAGAAATAAAGAAAAGAAAAAAACGAGATGCTGAACTTTGCTGATGTGAATTTCAGAATTTCAAACTTTTAGCTGAGAAGTATTATTCTAAAGGTGCAGGACATCAAGGAGATGTACTTTCAAATTGTCTCTCTTATTTTTGGAGTATCACGAAATATAATCCGCTTTGGCTGTTGACACTGAAATGAGTGTGGGTGGTTCCTTGGCTCTGACATATGAATATGGATTTGACTTTCATTTTTGTTCACGCTTACCTTCTTGACTCACAACGAGCACATCAAACTGCATTAGTCTGCGTCTCTTGTGCAGTGGTGTATGCGTGACTCTGGAAATTACTAAGAGTATGTACTCAGACAGCTATAGTATTAAAGTTTAGATGCAAACTTTCAACAGAAACCAACCTGAGTGTCGTATATTTGCAGAGCAGCTTCGTGTTGCCTCTGTGGAGGAGGTGAGGAAGACAAATTTGAATAACTTGAGCACTGAGAAATAGGCAACGTGGATAAATTGAGTTGCCTAAATGCAAACACAAATTAATCTTACAATATAATCAACCCCAGGCTTCAAATTACCTATGGGAGACAATATCATAAATACATTCTCCACAAACACTGTGACTGCCAGCTTTCCGCTTGGCTGAAAAACCCATTATCATCTTTACCTTCTCGATGAAAAATAGAGCCCAGTGCCAATAGTTATGACTGGCCAGCATGTCAGTTACCTGGAATTAAACATTACAGAGTTCAAATACTTTTCCCGGGGCTATTTGGATATGTAATATAATTCAGTCGTCTATGGAACAGATTACTTGTATGTGATTAATCAAAAACAGAAAAGAACAAAGTCATCGTACCTCCCAGTCTTTCTCTCTACTTTCCATGAACTTCAAGCCTTTGTCCAACTCTGCCTTCATCTCACAAACATGGGCTACAGAGTGGACTGACCAAGCATCGTCGGGAGTTAGAGCGAGCCCCTTCACAAGAGAGTTTGCCGTTTTGAAGCAAGAAGAAGCGATGAACGTGTTGATAAGTAACTAGATCTAAAATGACCAATCCAAAATAACTGCATTCTAAACACTCAACATCAATCTTTTCAGCGACCCTCATATCATACTTTGTATGCATTGTATGCATGAGTTTTGAAGGGTCTGCTGTTTATTCCTGTAGGTCTTTGACAGCAAATTACTTGCAGAGTTGAACTAACGAAATCAGAAAAGGGACCGAGAGTCCAAAACCCCCCTGCTACAATAATGGCAACAGCTTGAATAACAGCAGAGAAGAAAATCTCACCTCCATGGCTACTTGCTCAGCCTGGTCATAGAAACGAGTTTCCAGGAGACCAAAGGAATACAGTCCATTCAGGTAGCTGAGAGCAGGTATGTGCACACGTACGTACACACAAAAACAAAGTAAACAAATAAATAAAAAAAGATCTAATATGGCTCATTTCAGACAGTGAATTTACAAACGAGCTGCACCAATGCACAGCATACTGGAAATATTTATATTATTTCAAACTGTGAATGATGCAAAGCTACTCTGGCAGAGTGAAAGAACATCCTAACAGTTTGAAAGCATACATGCACACTTTAAACAAAAATACTAAGCACTGCACAACTACTTACTGTAAACAAGCCTCATTAGCTTACATGCTGTATGTTTTGCAGGTATGCATCCATACTGTCCCAATGCATGGCATCAATGTTTAGATTCACAAACAAAAAAAATCTCTGGTGACATTAAGCCGTCTTTCGTACCTGGACAAAGGCATGTGTGGTTTCCAGTGGGGAAGCACCCTGGCCACTGAGTCCCTCATTTGCATTTGGGCTCCCATGTAGAAATAAGCATCATGTGCAAACTTGAGGGCCAACATATCAGTTGGGTGGTCTAGCAGAATATCTTCCCATGCCTCACAGGCTTTCGGAAAATTTCTGCAAGACAAATGTGTCGGTTTAAAAAAGAAAAAAAGAGCGAGTTCAGGGAACGATGATCGGTACCTGGAGAATCACAAATGTCAATATGCTTTGTGAGCAGATTAGAGGGACTTGGAAAGTATCGCAAAGACAATGCTGAGAGCCAAAATGGCTCCTCGATATTACAGTATAGCTGACTATACCCCGGGGAAATAAGACAATGAATATAAAATTCAAATATTACTTGCTGGACTGTGACTGAAATTTTACAGAAGAGCTTGGCAGACAATCTGTAGTAAGAGAGTGTATCACGTAAGGCCAGGCAAATAACTTAGGGAATGAATATCACCTGATAAAAAATAAATTAAAAAAAACACACTTGTACTTCTGTGTTATATATAAAAAAAAAACACAAGTTCAACCTATTTCTTCTGGCTCAATGAAACTCATTTCGACTCAGACTTCAACTACAGACCCCAGTGACAGATAAGATTAAATATGTAAGAGTCTCTCTTAGCATACAACTCTGAGAATGATTAAGTTACTTCATTTTAAAGTCATTACATCAGGATTTTGTACAGATTTATAACAGAAATATTTTTGATAGCGTTAAATAATTAACCCTTAAAATAATTTTGATAAAACCAGTTTTGTGCACATAAAAAAAAAACTGTTGCAGTGTGCAGGGCTCTTGGATAAGGGACGCTAAAACTAACCACATTCTATGCTTTTAAAAAATAAGTGTTTATGTGCTGTCAATTATTGAGGTTTTTGTTTGATTGATTTTACATTTGTTATGCATTTCAATCATAAACATGCTTTTCAATCAGTTTCCTGTGAATTCACAACCACTTTGAACATTTAGAGAATTGGGTTTGCCGACTGATACAGGTTTCATATCGTCATCATGGGTTTATTGAGGCCTTCTGAGCAGGAAAACATTCAAAGATAAATTTGGCTCAAACACAACCCAATGAAGCACGGGCTGCTTTGTGACTGCGTCTCCTGCTGTGGCGGTCTGGCTCTGGACCTTACCCGTGTGAGAAGAGCTCCATGGCTTTGACATGGAGTCTCTCTCTGGAAGTGATGTCCTGGCTGTTGGCAAGTTCCACCGTCCTCCTCACAGCACTTGACAGACGCTCATCCAGCCTGGTGGAGCTTGTTGTTGCCACTAGCTCCAGGCCTGTACTTATCACATGCCCCATAACTACAGGAAAAACAAATAACAGCTGTCTTTTCTTTCTGGAGGTTTCCGCAGCTGCAGTTCTCATGGGGAACGAATCACATGCACTTGTAAAGTTTTGCCTTTGGACTTAAGTAAAATATTACAGGAGCTTCTTGGTTCCATTTCTGTTTATTTGCAGAATGAGATGAAGAATAAGAGTTGTTTAACTCCACTGTATGCCCCTGATACGAATAAGTGCAAGCAGCCAGCATTTTAAAGGGTGTCTATTGTCAGCAACGGTAAACTTGGAAGACCTCAAATTGTTTTTCTTATGTAACCAGACATTAGGATCAATCAATTCAATCAACGTGTGTGTTTACAGCAGCTAAACTAAAAAGCAGCTTGCAAGTTCTGAGGAGAATCAATAAGTGTTGAACTTGCACAAAGGAGGGTAGAGTCATTTGCATGAACAACAACTAAATGCTTGATCAGAGCTCGAACTGACAGCTGACAACTGAGGCCTCCCAGCTACACATAACACTGAAATAATCTGAAGTGACTGACCTCTAACATGTTTATTTAAAGAGTAGTAGCCACATTTAATTGTTTTTCCTTGCAGCGTATAAACTAATCAGACATCTCAGGGTTTCTTTAGTCTTATTTTGTTGTTTTCCTTATTTCCATATTTATCAGAAGCATAGTTAACCCCACATATAGTTACCAAAATTTGGGTCAGCTGCCTGGACAGCAGAAATGCATCCTTCAATTCCTCCCAAGCTGTCATCGTTCCTCCACTTCACGTACTGGGGGGTTAAAACACAATTTAGATCTTAAACTGCCTGAAACACCCACGGTGTGCAAACTGCGTGTGCATGTGGAACAGGTGTTTTCGGGTGTTAAGTAGGCTACCTGCGTGAGTATGGCGTCATACATTTTACAAGCCTCATTACTGCTGGTGGACAATGTAAGCCCCTCCGCCCTCCATGCCTGCAAGAAACGGGAGCATAATGGTGCAGACGTTAATGCTGGGTTTCAGTGTGTAAGCCGTTTGCATGACAAACATGCTGTTGTCTCGTCGGCTTGAGCAACCTGAGGTTAAAGATTCATCGAGTAAAGGCAGCCAATTTCATTTCAGTGTTACCCAGAGCCTAAATAAATCTACTTGTTATTGTAAAAGTTCCGGACACTTATCAACACTGGACATGCAACTTATCGAGGTTTGCCTGCTTTATGCCCCTGCATGAATATTTTTCTGTAAACTAACAGTTTTTCCCCACTTTAAACATACATATCTCAATAATACAAACTATGTTTCTCAATCCTTACTGCCACTTAGTTATTGCAACAAATAAAGAGAAAGTGTCGCTTTCTGTTCTTCATCCTTCTTTAAAGTTTCTTTCTCTCTCCGAGTCACTGACCTGGCAGTCCCTGAAGCTTGAGGAAATCATTTCTAAATCTTCAGCTTCTCCACCTACACGGAAAAAAAACCTGCTGGTGGGTCAACTTCTCGGTCAATAAAAAAGAAAAAAAGAAAAACGGGCCGGAAGTTTGTCCCTCCGTTGACACTCTTTCAAAATAAGTGCACGAGTAGCGTTTAGAAAGTCTACGTCAGAATGTTTTCCGAAAGCATGCGCTTTATTTTGTTAACTGACCTGCTATTTACCAGTCCACAAGATTATTTAATGTTAAAAACATTTTCCCCACATTCCGTTTGCTTTACTTAAAGAACCTGCTGTCGTTATCGGTTACGGAGGAGAAACTATCCTCGGTGGCTACAAGAATTATCAGACAGGGAGTCTTAATAATGTTGTAGGATTTATCTTGGCTTTTGCTTGAGAAATTTAATTTTTCACAGATGACAGGACCATTCAACAGGCAGGGGGCATCAAACGTATTAAATGTACAATTCTGGGTTTTTGATGTCTGACACCAAGGCACTAAAAATCTATTTTCCCCACCTCTGCTGAGAAGATTACATTTCAGCCCCCACCCTCTTTATTCTCCCTCATGCAAGTCCCCCAATTTCATGGAAGCGCAGCAATAAAATATCAGGTAATTTTAAGATGCCTGGGTTCCATCACAGTGCCTGCTACAGCTTCTTTGGCAAGTTAAAAGGCAGGTAGAAGTTCAGATTGAAGTTAAATGCGTTTCAAAATATACAGGAAAAGCACAGATAATACCATATGAACAGTATTCTACTACTTCTTTAAATCTATGCAGTCCCACCACATTATATAGCCTGCCTATTTGCATTTAGGAATTAATTCCTTTCTGCTACTGTACTTTGTGTTCTCGGTAGAAAGCCTCCGCTAATCCTTTATTAAGCCTGGGCTTGTAATGAAAGCAGAGAAAAAGTCACAGTAACATCTCAGGCTGGCTAAGGTGGAATGAAAGGTTTAAAAAGAATAATCTCTTGCTCATAACTATAAGACATTCAATTAAAAAGTTTGATTTTAGAGGACAAACACGTAAAAGAACTGCATCGTTTATTGCCGTCTTCAGCATACATCCAACACCCCTATGAATTTTAGCTACATGAAGCATTTACATTACAAGTCGTTTGTCGACAGAGTAGTTTTAAAAATTAGGATTCACTTTCTTTACATATGATACAATTTGCACAGGTTAATAAATATCAATACAATCATGTCAACCTTGGAACACACAATCTAAAACAACAGCCCATAAAATTGTGTAATATTCACAGCTCCAAACAAGTCATAAATATAGCCTCTGACATTTCTACACTGTAAAACAGTGCCCACCTGGATTTGTACAGTTGGCAAAGAGGCCTACTAGTCCGCCGAGGATGTCCAACGGATAAACCAAACCAATATTCTCATTCAATGCAGCTTGTGCAGTTCTTTAGGGTCCCATTTATGTGTAGTTTGGGGACCTGCTGTAGAAAAGTGTTGTTTTAAAAAAAGAGCTCCAGTGGAACACACAGATGTGATTATTGGATACCTCAAAAAAATCTAAACAAGAAAAAAAACTTACGTTTATAGAATGGAAATGAAAAGGCATCTTTTTCAAAGCTAAAGTATTAACACTGCAGTATATAGTTGTGTAGTGTTCTCTCTTCCCCACAGTAAGTCCTCCCATACTAACAACAGTAACATCAGGTCGTTAGTAACATCCCATTGTTAATACAGTCTATCCCGAGGATTGTTTCTACTGTTTAACAAAGCAGGAACCAAAATGTGAACAAATACTTGTAAACGTTAACGGTCAGTGTGATACACAGCCAATGAGAGCTCACAGAGAGGCCCATCATCATCATCAACTCATGTGAAATGCTTAAATATTTGCATCCAAGTCTTCTATGTGCCTGAAGCCATAATTCCTGACATGCAGCGGCATGTATGCGAGATACAAAAGAGATATGCGAGATAATGAGATTCTGGGCACTCTCCTGTGAATACAAATAAAATTAAAACAAAACCATTTTTTTAAACTGTTAAAAGCAAAACATGATAATAAATACATAAACATGAACATATTTAATGGATTCATAGTGGTGACAGACTCTGCAGGGGGAAAGGAAAGAAAACAACAACAACCCTGGAGCGTTTTATGATGCATTTGTGGTTTCTGAAGGATGCTGATGTGAGTTTGTCACTAGGGAGAAAAAAGGCAGCTTCAGCAGAGTCCGTTCTACAGTCGGACTGAAAAGAGCGAGCTAGGAGACCTTGCTCTGACATTTAAAACACACCTCTGCAGCACTAAGACCGAGGACCCTCATCTACTGAAAATGGGACTCGATTATACCCCCTCCCATTTTTGTTTTTACAATTCCTGTACATCAGCAGGACCAATCCTCATTCTTCCCTTTAAATAGTGGAGAACAAAGTCTTTAAACGCTCTCCTAACCCCCCGCCACAATTTTCAAGGTTGAGATGTTAAAGTTGTGAATATACACACCACGTCTCCACCCACAGACTGAGACAGCAAGCATAACTGCAAAGTGATTAACATGTACTGCCTTTGGGCAGGGGATATGTAAACGCTGCAGACTGCTCCAACATCACAGGCAGCCGTAGTGTACATATTATGTTGTTGGGGTTCTTCACACATTCGCTGCTCTAGGTGTGACAGTTTTAGGCCAAATGCCTGTGTCAAAGTTCAGCAGATATATCCACATCAAAGACGCCCACGTGAGACTGAGAGCACCTACGAGCAGTCGAAAACTTGAAATGATTCCCCTCACATCAAGCCCAGTTGAGGTTAAAGCCTTTAGAGAGCATAACAGCCTCCAGGTCCTTGTCTTCCTCCTTCTCTCGAAGTCTCTGCTCCTCCAGGAGAGCAACCAGGGCATCTCGTTGCTCCACCACTTCCAACATCTCATTCAGGATCTGCTTCTCCTCAGCCAGTTCCTTCTCAGATTTCAGGTGGTCTGAAAGAAGCCCGTGCAAATTTGAAAACAAAAAGACGTTATGCAGATATGAACGCTGGGAGCTCATTTGTATAGCCCGTCAGCTAATTTGCATTCGAGCGTTCACCTTCCATGGCCATCCGTTCCCTGAGTTCCTGCTGCAGTCGGCTCTGTCTGTCCTCCAGCTCCAACTCTCTGGCACTTGGGGACAGAAAGTAAGAAGGGAGACTGGCTAAGTTAGTGTCACTAATGAGCTATAGCTTTCGACATCTACATTATTCATCAGACTATTCATTTATCTATGTAGCATTTCATTAAAGAATATACTATCTGGCTGAAAAAAAGATGGGCTATTAATCTAAAAGCTTTTGGTAAGCAATGATGAGATGATACTGGATAATTTAAGGGCCAAAATTAAAGCAGGAAAGTTGGTTTTCCTACATTTTTCTAAATGTATTGAAAAAGCGGTCACATATCAGCAGATGAAAAATAAGTGACTTCATAGCAGGGGAATCAACATCACACTCATAATATTACTATTTATAAAATAAGGAGGTAATAAATCTCTGCTTCTGTCAAGAGAAACATAACTTATAAACCTTAAGAAAGACATTATATTACATATTTAGGCATTTATGATATTACACTTATAAAGTAATCTGACGCTGGAATGCATTTTGATCACCCGGCAACCTTCGGGAAGACTGGCTGCAACTTTTGGTTTATTTAACCCAACTTAAGGGTAAAAATAAACATTTATGACAACATATGTGCAACTGGACTCATTCAATTTATAGATGCATCTTGTTAACCTATGAAAATGAGATGCTAACTTAGCACACCACCCTCTCATCCATGCACAGTCACTTCTGAAAAGAAGGATCCCTTTAAAACTGTAGTTCCCGAACCAGCTGGTGAGAATACAGTGACGTGGTCTGTTATTTACAAACCTATAATTCTTACTCAGGCTTGATTTGTTTATTATTCTGGTCACTGCTCTGAAGTTTCTCCAGAGTCCAAGGAATTCAAGAATTCAAGAATCATCGCGATTGATGATGTCTGGTCATGGCCCGGTTGTATTATCCACTTACTATAAATCACTTTATAAGACGTACCCTTAAAATTAACCACTGAATTCACCTCATCTCAGCCAACTACTGACATTTTCTAAAGATCAGTTTTCCATCTGTACAGTACACATTAGTGAAATTTGCCATCATACATGTACCTACATAAAAAGAAGAAGCTGACATATGAACCAGTGACAACCAAGTTTTGCATCTTGGACATTAAAAGTATCCAATCAGCTAACACATTTGGGGTTTTTCCAGTGCACCTTTAAAGGAATGTACTTACAATATCATGAGTTCGGACTCGTAGCGGACTAGGGCATTTTTCTCCTGCACCAGCTTGAACCACTCTTGCATTAGTTTAGGATCGTCTTTCTTACCCATACCTGGATGGAAGGAGGAAGCACAGAGCAGCAGTGAGACTCCAGGTGGCTGCGGCACGACACTCATGTCACAGAGACGAGGACTGACACAGGCAATGCAATGACAGCCAAGCCAGGATGTCCTTACAGAGGGATGGTGAGGTGGAAGAATGGATTCGACATCGACGTGATTGGCCGTGCCATACCTAACGATGGCACTCAGAAGGTGAGGAGGAGCTACAGGACTCAAATTTGACATGTGTGCACATAGAAACACACACAATCCACATACAAACACATACAGACAATACCTGTTGTTGTGAAGCTGAGAGTTTGTGTTACCCAGTTTGGTCCTTTCGACAGACGTAGCTACTTTCTGAGCAACTCCTATATGTTTTTTTGCAAGTGTGAGTAATAATAAAAAATTCACAAGTCTACCAATCAATAGCTAAGATATTAGAGAGAAATAAATCCAAGGACCTATGGAAATATTTCATCTTCCCCTGTCCACATATTGACCGAGCAGCTGAAATGAAATCCTTTCAGATCCTATTCATGCTCGGTGGTTTTATGGGTACAAAATAGGTGTGAATTATTCTGCAGTCTTTACATATTCAATAACGTACTGAAGTGTTATAGGAGGACTTATCACTGAGACCAGTAGAGAAGTTCCCTCTATTCATCCTGCCACAGAGACGAGCATATTTAGTGCTGCTGGCATCATGCATTGCAGTCAGAGCGCAGAGCAGCTGCACACTTCTCCTGCAGTCCCACTTGACTATGCAGAGAAGACCAGTGTATGGGGCATGCTTAGGGAAGGTCTGCTGCTGGGGCGATGCACCCTTTCATTTATCTGACTGCAGCAGGTGGAGCCAAGCGGTCTTGATGAAACACCAGAAGGCGAACCTTGATGCAGCGTGACATACTTAGCTGGGGAAGAGGAGGCTCTTGCACAACGAAAAGAAAAAACATTGTACACACATAAATAGCATGGCTGTGGTCTCGGGCACTGGCTGCTGCTAATTGACAGACAAGGGACAGAGAGAGAGGCAGAGCTGGAGGAGAGCTGCTCACACTTAGAGCAATGCAACATGAGAAGACAAAAACACGAAGCCTGATTTACCAGACCTATTCTACAATGGGAGCTTTTCTTCTTCCTTAACTACTTCTGTCTGTTCCACTGACACCACCCTTCAGCCAAGGCTCCCACCACAAAAGAAACAAGGACAAAAACAACATGCCTTTCTTTTTGGGGGGGATTTTTTTCTCTTCACATGGATTGAAAGCTTCACTGACCGAACCACGTGGCCCACTCATTTTTAAGACTTACATAAGGCTGGAATTTTACAACAAATCATCACAGCATGCAAGTTTCTTGCTGACAGGCCAGTCAGGTGTCAGGTGGTCATTGCTCAGTTTGAACATTTTATCAAAGGATAAGCCAGAAAATCCAACCAAAACATGCTGCTGATTAGAGTCACGCTGTGGCTGAGTAGTTAGTAAGTCACTGCAGTAGTACTTAGATGGTCTAAACTTTCTACATTATTGTATTAAAATAGGTTGAAAGGTGATTTCTTTATTTAAAAAAGAAAAATGCACCACAGTCTTCAATATTCTGTTTTTCTGATATGGCATTTTCTGAAAATGAGCATTACACAGGAAAGACATAATCCATTACAGCTAGCAAAGAAGTATGCTATTAGCTAAATCTTGATATTAAATTACTCCCACAGTAAAACACCTGTTCAGGACTCGAGGGACCCCCCTAGTAGGAGCAGAGATGTGTTCTGGTAAACTATCCACAATGATATACAGCGGCCCCTCATTTATCGCAGGAGTTACGTTCTAAAAATAACCCGTGACAGGTGAAATCCACGAAGTAGCCAACTTTATTTTTTTACAATTATTATAGATGTTTTAAGGCTGTAAAACCTTTCACTACACACTTTATACACTTTTCTGAGACAGGCGTGGACCTTTTCACACTTTTCAAAACGTTTCATCGACATCGTTGCGTTTGTTGGGGAGAAAACAAACATACCGTACGGCACTCCAGAGACACGCTGCTAGCGATCGAAGATTTATGTACATTTGATAAGCTGAACGCGTTCTGTACTGTACAGGAGACACGGCACGAGATTGATTGACAATGGTCTACAGCCAATCAGGACGCAGAAGACAATACGCTGGAAAAAAACAACAAAAAACAAACATGCAAAATTGAACCCAAAAAATCTGTAAAACAGCGAGGCTTCGAAAGGTGCACGGCGTTACAGCGAGGGACCACTGTATACTTCTAACAAAATTATTTTTCATCAGCTTCAGCGTGATGAGCTCCTTCATATTCTGGAGAAACCTACTGAGCCTAATGTCACACAGCTAGGAAAAGCTGGGAGGACAAAGGGGGGGGGACCAACGACGTAGCCCATTTCTGGAGATCCTTACGCTTGCAGGTAACCTGCCACAACTGGCGGCAGATGCAGCGAGGTTATGTTACCTTCAGGGGAACAGCAGGGGCAGAAGGAGAGCGGTCTTCGGCGAGGCATCCCCACAAAGGGCTCAACTTCCACAAGACAGAGGGGAAAGAGCGTGAGGGAGTGACGCAGGTGGGCACATTAGGAGGGGGAGGTAAGAAACAGTAAGAATGGAGGAAATAATGTGGGAGGAAAAAAAAACAGACATGACAGAGGCAAAGAGAAGAGGACAAAGAGGGTGCAGGAGGAAGGGGAAGGAGAGGTTTGAGGTGAGGAAGAAAATATCAAAGAGAAAAATCAACAGGGGACAGGAGCACTGCGATAGGGAGCAGACAAATCACCTAGAGAGAGGAGGTGGGAAGAGATCAGCTGTGTGGTGTGAGAAATGAAAAATATGGGATAAAATAAGAACAGAAAACAAGAGGGGGAAATCTAGAGCATAGGAAGAGAAAATAATCCTGTTTGATCTTGCAAGTGTAGTTCTTCACATGATCTTTCAATTAGGTAAAAGCACCCTATATCTGTGCGCTACACACCACGCACATAGCCAGTGGTTATAATATAGAAATGATTTATTCCCATTATAAAACCCATTACTGCTCATCAATCCATCCCACTCGCAGACGCAGATAATTGCTTCATCTTTAAAGTGCTGCTTCTTGTACACGCTACATGTTTAGACCACCCTGCGTAATTTGTTGCCGGTTTGGCGACTTCTGAAGTGTAGCTTCTTCTCAAGTGCAAATTAGGATTTTTTTCTTCTTCCTATTTGCATCCACTAAAAAGATTTTCTCAAAACGTAAGATTACAGATAGTGGAAGTTACTTAATAAACGCCTAAAATATAGACTAGAAAATGTGTGTAATGTAAGGCACATTTCACTTAAAATGGAGCAAATATGCAGGATCTTCTATAGTAAGGGCTCATACTCGTGTAAAAAAAAAAGATTTTTCAGGTTGGAAGGTGAGGGGGCGTGAGAATGAAATGCTCAATATGTGCTACAAGGGACTATCACAGAAAAGAAGGAAAAATTGCAACTTAAAAAGACCGAGGCCCTAATAAAATGTTTATGGCTTCCCCAAATCATCCAAGTGTGCTTATGGATTGTGTCGTTTGTTCAATGAATCCTCATCTATGCTCATAATTATTAAAGTTGATTATTACATTTCTAAGTAAAGTTAATAAAAATAGCAGAAAGAAGAAGGGGGAAATTACCTGGCTTTAATATTAGATTTTTCCTCTTTGTTTTTTCCTTGCAGGTCTCATCTGCTAGCACAAACCGTATAACCCACTATTCAGTGTAAGCGCCACAGTTCTTCATCACCCACCAAACACGATAAGCAGGACGGAGGACTACTGGAAAATTATCAGGAAGCTAAAAGCGTTTTTTTGTGACACATCCAGCCCAAAACATTCAACAAACCCAAAACAGTTTCAGGTTCATACATTTGAATTAGCTCAGAAAGAACAAATAAAACCAGCTGGATTGGAAGTGATGAAACACCATGCCTCCTGTTAGACTTCTGGGCAACCAATTAGAAGGGGAAACTCGGACGCTTGCAGAGTGACCTTTGTGCCAAAACAAAATGACTCTGCACAATCTTCTTTTTGATGAGTGCCGACAACCAGCGACACAAAAGCACAGAGAAGCCCTGCATAAAGAAATGCTCATTTTTCTCCCTCGTGCTGAGAAACTCCATTTGCGCTAAATAGCTAAAAATCAAACACGTGTTTCTCACAAACCGAATTCACAGCAGACGTGAGGTGAAAAAGATGCATTCCTCTCATACTCGAGTCTAAAGGAGAACAGTGGACACGACGAGACATTTCAGCCAGACACAGTCAACGCGTTAAACAGTTTTCCAGCCGCAGCTTATACACAGCGGCTAATGTTTTAAGATTACAGCACTACCCATTAGTGCACACACACATACACACACACACAAACACTTTGGGGAGTTATGCAACTGAGCAGGTATGAGAAAGATTGCTGGGACTACAGTGCAGAACTACAGCAGGACAGAGTTCTGAGGCGAAGCTAAGAGCCAGGCTAGGAGTTTAGTATTAGTCAAACCAGGGTGGGTCACAGGTTACACATGTGTGTGTGGTCGGCAGGTGTCCGAGGTTTGTCCATCTTCCATCACACTCTAGCTCCAATGTGCAAGATCGGAACATGACTAGATGAGATGAGTTGACTCAACAGTGTCACAAACGCGATATCTTTAGATGTAACGTGACAGTTGACAATAAAAACACAGAAATAAGACAGTTTTTTTTTTTTTTTAAATATCTTTCTTGAAATACAAGGCTGGGATTTCTTTTCTCTTATTGTTAAAATTAGGAAAGCCAAAGCTCTTTCAGTTCATCTACAAACTGCGTTGCTTCAAACATGTTTTCCTTCCAGCTAATGGTGTAAAAGAGGACAGCTGACAAAGATCGATTTAGAAATTTGTACTAGAAATGAAAATAGAGACCCTGTGCATGCAATATTACGAATGTACCAATTAAAAAGAGATGATTTACTGAAAAAAGGTCATTAGTTTAAAACAAATACAGACACTAATCTGTTTTACAGTTGTCCTGTATGTCTCCCATAAAAATAACACTGAATATATCGATGTAGGAATATGAGAAGACAGCAGGATCAGTGCATTGGTGGTTTTGGTCTTCTCATGAACAGAATATCCAACGTTCCCAGCCTTTAAGTAGAACTCTGTACTTTTCTCGGTTCCCCATCTCAGCTGGCCTGCTGCTACTCGCCAGGATTTTATTTGATGAACAGTATATTATTCTATCTGCTAAATTAAACGTTTTAATGAATACGCAACAGAAGACCAGAACTTTAACGTGCAGCAAAAGCATGAATGCACAGTGCTGCTCTAATATCACTCTTTGCAGTGCGTCGCCGTTTGCATCAGTGCTGCGCCAAACAGTCTACGTGCACCAGAGTGACAAATAAAAGTTACTTATTAATTCGTTCATTCATCATTCATAAGTTTATAGAGATCAAAGACAATCTTAAGAGAACAGCACGAGGCCAAGTGTCTGATCTCCGTTTGATGTAAAGAGTGTCTGAACTACAAACCCAGTAAAGGAGAAAGCGAGGGGAGGGAGGGAGGGTAAAGGAGCAGAGAGCATCGCAGTGGCTTAAAGCCAGCCAGCCAATCACGGCAGATATGAGGGGTACAAAGCTCAAGTAGTAACAGGGAGGAGGAAGGACAGATTGGGTTAGCCATTAGGTTAGTTTTAAAGCGACAGATGTGAAATACATACCGCCCAGATGCAAGTCCAGGATTTCACTGTAATTAGAATCTCCCCAATAGTCTACAACGACAGGGATATATTAGAGATAGGAGTTACTTCACACAGCCCCAAACTAGGCACACAAACACGCACACACTGAAATCTCCAACAAAAGCAAGTCATGCATGTTCTCTGAAACATACAGACACACACAGAGTCCATCAGTACTCACCACAATTCAAATGCAGTCATTTTGTGCAACAGAATATTTCCAATGATGATAATAAAAGACTGCTGCATAGATTTGGTGTGTTGCC